CTATATGAAACATCTATGGTTGGTCTCGGAGAATATATAACCCAAGGGAAGGACAAACTATCAAAATAGTGAAAAAATGGGACAATGGCCTTTGCAAATACTCCATCCAGAAAGAAATGAAGAAGATTACTGTCGGAACGTCTAGGAGGCGAAGACTCCAACTAGAAACTCAATCGACAAGATCAAGAACGTCGCTGAAAGTGGCAGACTAGCAAAAGTAGCCTCGAAACCATTGCACGGACAGTTCTTCCGACAACTCGAGAGAACAGAGGTAGATAAACGTGGAAGTGTCAGTTGGTTGAGAAGCTCTACGCTGAAAGCGGAAACAGAAGCTCTGATAGTATCTGCACAAGATCAAGCATTAAATACAAGGTACCACCAAAAGTATATACTAAAACAAAGTATAGACAGTAAATGCAGAATATGCGGGCAGTTCCGACGAACACATAGCCATATAGTAGCAGGTTGCCAAAGTACTAGCCCCTTCAGAGTATACCGCTAGACATAACAATGTAGCTAGTTACGTTCACTGGAAAATATGTGACTCGTTTGGTATTCCAGTTACAGATAAATATTATCAACATGAAATCCAGAGTGTCACCAACATCAAGAATGACACCACTGATGTATGTATTATGTGGGATGTGCCGGTAATAACGGATCGAACAATAAAAGCAAACCGACCTGACATTATAATTCATAACAGAAAGGAGAAAACATGTCAACTAATTGATATAGCGGTTCCCGACGATTCCAATGTAAAATCGAAAGAAAATGAAAAGATATCTAAGTACAGAGATCTCCAGATAGAAATACAGAGAATGTGGCATGTGAAGCTTGGATAACTCCTGCGTGGGGGGCATTAGGACACGAGCACCAAAACCTCCACGGAAAGGGGACGCAAGACCCGGGAAACCAGCACTCCCAGGCAAAAAAACGGCACGACGAGGAACAGCGCAGAGACGAAGGAAGGGGGTCGGGAGGCGCGGGGAGAGCTGGGGGGAGAGGGGCGAGCCGGGAGGACCAGACAGACGGCGGGGGAAAAAAATAAGAATAAGAAGACGAAGCAATAAGAAGAAGAAGAAGAAGAGAAGACTAAAGAAGAAGAAGAAGAAGAATAAAGAGAAGAAGAAGCAGAAACGAAGAAGAAAAGAAGAAGAAGAAAGACGACATAAGAGAAGAAGATCGAAGAAGAAGCAGAAGAAGAAGAAGAAAAGAAAAAGAAGAATACGATAAGAAGAAGAAGAAGAAGAAGAAGAAAGAAGATAATGAAAGAATAGAAAGAAGAATAAGAAAGAAGAAGAAAAAAGAAGAAAAAAATAAGAATAATAAGAAGAAGAATAAACATAGAAGAGAATAAGAGAAGAATAAGAAGAAGACGGAAGAAGAAGAAGAAGAAGAAGAAGAAGACGAAAAGAAGAAGAAGAAGAAGAAGAATAAGAAGAAGAATAGAAGAAGAAGAATAAGAATAAGAAGAAGAAGAATAATAATAATAAGAAGAAGAAGAAGAAGAAGAAGAATAAAAAATGAAGAGAAGCAGAATGAATAAGAAGAAAAGAAGAAGAAGAAGAATAAGAAGCAGAATTACATAAGAAGAATAATGAATAATAATAAGAATAAATAAAATAAGAAGAAGAAGAAGATACTATAATATAAATAATTAATCAAGATAAGAATAATAATAAGTAAATAAGAAAATAATAATATATAGATAATAAGAAGAATAATAAAAACAAATAAAGATAAGAATATATAATAAATAATAATTTAAAATAATATATATAATAATAAGAATAATAAGAAGATAATAATAAGTAATAATAAGAATAATCATATAATAATAAGAATAATACTCATCATAAAGAATTAATTAATAGTAATAATGAATAATAATAATAATAATAATAATAATAACTACTAATAATAAGAATAATAATCATAATAATAATAATAATAATAATAATAATAATAATAATAATAATAATAATAATAATAATAATAATACTAATAATAATAATAATAATAATAATATACTAAATAATAATAATAATAATAATCATAATAATAATAATAATAAAAGGTCTGACGGTTAAGGGACTGCCGCCAGGCAGTTTCCAAACCCGCTACCGTAACGACCGTAGACGGTACAAGCCAGCAACCGCAACGTCCTCTGGCCTTCGACCAAGTGGTTGAGTACTGTTATTAACACCGAAGGAAAGTCAGTACGGCCAGCACACCTCCTGTTCATCCAGGCGTGGTTTTTGTCTCTCTTCCACGCCTGAGTTTAAACACTTTTAGGTAAACAATTATACCTACCTATCAAAAGAGAACACAATTACCCAGAAATGGAGAAAAAACAAAATGAAGCCTCGGAATGTAATGACGTAATCGGGACTCGACGCTATGCGACGAGGTCCGCGTCCGGCAGGGAGCGTAGGGGAAGGTCGCACCCGGTCGTCATCCAGCGAAAGCCCCCCACAGATAGTGTGAGAAGTAACTCGAATGACCCCATCCAACAGCTTCCTGGGGTCGAAGATGGCAATCATGTTGCTGGAAGCCAAGAGCCCCAGCCCATAATGCCAGACAATAGGAGGAGAAAAAGAACCACGTGGACCACTGAAATGAACAGATTTGTGGTTCGCTCCTACTACAGAATAACTAAACTAGAAACATCTACAGAGCCCTATGGTACTGAACTACACAGACAAGTTATCATGAACTTCCCTCACCTGCAAGGCAAAACTGTGCAAAACGTACTAGACCAGCGCCGATCCGTATTCATAAACAACAGATTGCCGGCAGAGGAGATAACAAAATAAGAGAAGAGATATCCATAGAATTAGGAATGCAGGATACAAGCTCCGCAAGAGCACACAGAAAACCAAGAACAAATTGAGATAAACGATGGCCAACCATCTAAATACGCAGATGAGTTCAGGGGCTTGTTCATGAAGTATGATGGTGTGGAACCAACTATTAAACCAAGCCTACCAAAGCTAATAATAAAACCCCATACATCTGAGTATATCGCTGAAGTTAACAAAGTAATAGATAACGAGATTACAGAAGATACAACCTTGACTGAGCTCCATAGCCTGTTGTACATTGGAGCACTTACAGTCCTAAAATTAAATGAACAGAGAGTTGGCGAACAATGTGTAAGGAAAAACAGAAAACTGCAGCCTGGGAGATGAGGATATCGCGTAATATAGAGGAGATTAGAAAGGACATAGCAATACTCACCCAGTACCGCAGGTCTGACTGTAGTCTGAGAGTAAAGAGATCCGCAGAAAATGTGATAAACCGTCACTGCTCGGAAGAGAACCAACAGCCGTAGAAGTCTTGGACTACCTGAAGCAAAAAACTAGCAGCTACAGCACTGCGACTTCAAAGGTACAAGAAAAGCAACGAACGCCGGAAACAAAATCGAGCATTCGAGACCAATCAGCGAGGCTTTTACAGGAACTTGCAGGCGCGACGGAGGGATACAGATCAGAACAACGTTCAGATTCCTACCTCAGATGCCATCAATACCTTCTGGTCAGGAATTTGGAGCAATCCAATCAATCATTCCACATCTAAATGGTACCGCCAAGAGAAAGCAAATAATTCAACTTTTAGGACCATGCTCGACTGGAAAGTAAGCTTAGATGACGTGGTAAATACTCTACGAAAATTACCAAACTGGAAAGCCCCAGGATCAGATAAGCTTCAGAATTATTGGCTAAAAACGTTCACTTCAGCTCACGATCGACTCGCAAAGTGTTACACCTCAATCTTAGAGCAACCGATATGTTGCCAGAGTTTCTTAACAATGGGAATAACATATTTAATCCCAAAGTGCGGCGATCACTCGAACGATCCGGCAAAATACCGACCAATCACCTGTCTGCCGACTATTTACAAGGTATTGACTGCTATAATTACTGAAAAGATATATTCACACCTAGAGCGGAATACTATACTAGACGAAGAGCAAAAAGGTTGCCGAAAAGGGTCTCGAGGCTGTAAAGAGCAACTTGTTATAGACTCTGTCATAACTAATTATGCCAAAAAGAAAAAAAATACCCCTGTACATTGCATACATCGATTATCAGAAAGCGTTTGACAGTATACCTCACTCTTGGCTGTTAGAGGTGCTTGACCTTTATGGGATCGAGTGCCACATCAAACAATTTCTGGCACATGCTATGGCGAATTGGAAGGACACGGCTCTATCTCAACACCCAAGATACGCAATTCAGTTGCCGGAGAGGTATCCATCAAGAGAGGAATATTTCAAGGAGACTCTTTAAGTCCGCTATGGTTCTGCTTAGCGCTTAGACCTTAACAACAATGCTAAATAGCCAAAAGAAAGGAATACTGTTAGGTGGCAATGAAACACGCATTTCACATCTTTGGTACATGGACGACCTCAAATTTTTGCAGAAACCAAAGAACATCTTCATAAGCTTCTGGACTGTGTAAGTACATTCAGCCACTGACATCAAGCTGCTGTTTGGCTTAGACAAGTGCAAGATCAGTTGCATGGTAAAGGCCAGTGGAGGAAACTTCAGGATATGAGCCGAACCAAGTGCAAGGGAAAATTGAAGGAATGCAGCAAGATGAACAGTATAAATACTTAGGCTATCTACAAGCGCCGGGCATAGACCAGAAAGCTGCAAAAGAAAGGCAATGGAGCACTATAGAACACGTTTGAGGGCGGTGCTGAAAACAAGTCTGTCAGCTCGTAATACAGCACTTGCTGTCAGCACCTACGCTACTTCGGTCCTTACCTATACGTTTGGCATACTGAACTGGACGGATAAAGAACTGAACGAACTTATGTGGAAACCAGAAAAGAATTCCGTAAACACCGGGGACACCACCACATAGTTCCATAGAGCGGTTCCATCTACCACGAAGTGAGGGTGCAGAGGAATACCTGCATACCTACACTACATCACCGCCAAGTGGACAATCTACGCCAGTACTTCCTCCAAAAAGCCACATCCAGCAGAATGCATCAAGCAATAACACAGACGGATAAAAAGTTGACACCACTAAACCTTTCAGAAAAATCTTTCGACCCTGAGGCAAAGATAACCCCAATGCAGGATCTGGTTCGCCAATGGAAAGCCAAACCACTACATGGTCGGTATAGGAGCCGCATAGAAGACAACGCCATTGACACGAAGGCTTCCCAAGGATGGTTGCTGTCAGGTAATCTGTTCCTGGAGACGGAGGGCTTCATAGCCTCCATCCAGGATCAGGTAGTCCCAACAAAGTTGTACCGAAAGCGTATAATGCATGAGAACGTTGAAGATATCAGATGCCGCATATGTGGGGAAAAAGATGAGCACATAGATCATATAGTAGCAGGCTGCTCTCCCTTAGCTCCTAAACAATATCTTGAAAGACAATGATTTGGCCAAAATAATTTATCAAGCTTTGGCTAAAAAGCATCTAGGAGAAACTGGTACACAGCCCTACTATAAATACACGCCGCCACCTGTGATAGAAGCGGAGACCTCTAGGCTGTACTGGAACCGTAAAATCATAACTGACAGGCCCATCCCCAACAATATTCCTGACATAGTGCTCACACTAAAAGAAGAAAGAACGACGTTTATAATAGACATAGCTGTACCTCTTCCTACTAATATCCAAACCACCCATGCGGAAAAGATCAATAAGTATTTGCCACTCTCCGACGAAATAAAACGCATGTGGGAAATGGGCAATGTGTCTGTAATACCAGTTATCATAGGAGCTAGTGGAGAGATACCAAGGAAACTACACAAGAGTCTGGAAAAGCTACAGCTCCATCCAAAAATATACTTGCAGTTGCAAAAAGCTGCACTGCTGGGAACATGTAGGACAGTACGTAGGGTTTTAGGAGATGAGAACCGGATACGGTGGAAAAACCGCTGCAGATCTATTTCCTTACTTTGGCGGTTAGCCTGAGGGAAATATTAATACCTTCGACAGAGGTGTAAAATACTATAAAATAATAATAATAATTATAATAATAATAATAATAGTTATAATAATAATATTAATTATAATAATAATAATAATCATAATCATAATAATGATAATAATAATTATAACAATCATAATATAATAGTAATAATAATAATAATCATAATAATAATAGTAATTATAATAATAATAATATTTATAATAATAATAATAATAATAATAATAATAATAATAATTATAATAATAATAATTATAACATCATAGGCTATGCCTGTCTTGGGATCGAGTGAAGTAGGTGGCACTGACCCGAGGATTGGACCTACCACCACACAGGCGATGGAAATGGAACAACGATTACATCGAAGCTCTGAAAGTGTTGCCGAGCAAATTGCTCGTCCCACTCAAGAGGATAATAGTCGTAGGAAACGGATGAAATGGAGTGATGAATGATGAATGAATACCTCTACCGTACCTACCTCAAAATCACCAAAATGGAAACATCAAAGGACCCCTATAGCGTCGAACTCTACCAAACCATGATTGGAAGGTTTCCTGATCTAGCAAGTAAAACACGTCAGAACATATTGGACCAACGACGACATCTCTTTACGACGAACAGGATATCGATAGATAAAGTGAACCGGATACGAAGAGAAGTGGAGATGGAACTCGGAATAGGACAGGCTGAACCATCACGCGAGCTGGAGGATACAGCAAATACCAGCAGTGAAAGCATAAAGCAATCATACAAGCATACTGAACAAAAACCCAGATGGCAGATGAGGATCGAAGGGAAAATAAAAGATCTACGAGCAGCTATAGGCCCCCTTGTTCAGTACATCAAGTCAGATGCCCCGTCCAACCGGTTGCGAAATAAAGTCACAACAATAACCCAGAGACATCATGATGAGGATAATCAAAATCCGATACAGATCCTCGATAAGCTCCAACAAAGGTTGTCTGTATACGCAAATCGCCTAAAGCGATATAAAGAGTCGCATCAAAGAAAACTACAAAATAGCATATTTCGAACGAATCAAAAGAGGTTCTATCGCTCACTGGAAAACGAAGATGTAAGTACTACGGGTAAAACTCCAGAAGCTAGAGATGCATTAACATATTGGGCTGACCTATGGGAGAACCCTAAGACTCATAATAATAAAACAAGTTGGCTCGCGGACGAAAAGAGGAAAACCGAAAAAATACCCATGATGCACTACAACGTCATAACTGTGGAGGATGTTAAAAGATCTATAAACAACACGCAGAACTGGAAGGCGCCTGGACCTGATGGCATCCATAACTATTGGCTCAAAAGGTTCACTTGCACACACGAAACGTTAGCGATGATCTGCACAAGCCTCTTGCAAGATCCAGAATCCATTCCAGCATTTCTGACAACGGGAAACACCTACTTGCTTCCTAAAACATTCCCTTCTGTGAGCGACCCATCAAAATACAGGCCAATTACGTGTCTTCCAACCATATATAAAATAATTACTTCAATTTTATGCGATCAAATTTACCAGCACCTTGAAAGGCATCATCTGTTCCCAGAAGAACAGAAAGGCTGCAAAAAGGGAAGTCGTGGCTGCAAAGAGCAACTTACAATAGATAACATACAATCATCACGGAGGAAGCAAAGGGCTGTAAGAAAGATCTGTATGTTGCATACATTGACTATAAAAAGGCCTTTGACAGTGTTCCTCACTCTCTATTAATTGAAATGCTCCAAATATATAAAATCAGCCCTAGTATAGTGAGATTGCTGCAAAACCTTATGCCTCAATGGAAAACTAATCTTGTAATAACCCATAAAGAAGAAAATATCAACATCGGTGCCATCAGTATTAAAAGAGGTATCTTCCAGGGAGATGCACTAAGTGCTTTATGGTACTGTATTGTATTAGCACCTCTATCTACAATGCTGCACAAGAAGAACGAAGGTTATAAGCTTCAGAACAACCTACAAATAAGCCATCTAGCTTACATGGATGACATCAAACTAATATCTGCCACTAAGGATGGACTGGACAGGTTGCTTAAAACCATAAAGAAATACAGTGCTGACACAAGAATGGAGTTTGGCCTGGACAAGTGTAAGATTGGGGCTATTAGAAAAGGCATATGGGAAGATCACCCAGGGTTTATGTTGGAGCAGGGTCAGACAATAAGAAGCATGTCTGAGAAAGAGAGCTATACATATTTGGGACTAGATCAAGCAAGGGGTATCAAACACAAAGATGTGAAAGAAGCTCTAAAGCAAAGATTAACGAGTAGGGTCAAATCAATACTTAAGACTCATCTGTCCGCAATACACAAAGTAAGGGCCATTAACACATATGCTATTCCGACAATAACATATAGCTTCGGAATAATCAAGTGGACAGACTCTGACTTAGAGCAGCTAAACAGAAACATAAGAGTCTTATTTACAAATCATAGAGCAAGACATCCCAAGAGTTCGATCGAAAGATTCTACTTGCCAAGATCCAAAGGGGGACGAGGCGTGATTGACCTTAAAGCAGCTAACCTGCGGAATATAGAAAACCTCAGGAGATTCTTTTATAGAAAGGGCGAAACATCTGCATATCACAGAAACATATCTTCAGCTGACTACAAGTTCACACCACTGAACCTGTCGGATGAACAGTATGAACCTCTAACCCATGTGACCACCGACGAACAATGGTATCATCAATGGAAGTCCAAACAGCTTCATGGAAGACATCCAGCCATGCTCAGCTCAGATCACATTGATGCAGAAGCGTCACATGGATGGCTGAAGAGTGGGGAGCTATTTTCGGAAACTGAAGGTTTCATGATTGGCATTCAAGATCAGGTGATACCAACCTTAAACTATAGAAAATACATCATGAAAGAAGAAGGCATTGAAGATAGATGTCGTATATGCCATAACAAGTCGGAAACAATAGAGCATATCCTGACGAGCTGCACTCCCCTAGCTTCCACTGAGTATCTGAAGCGCCACGACAACGTGGCTAAAATAGTTCACCAAGAAATTTGTTATGCTGCGAACATACTAACTGACCGCACCCCATATTACAAGTACCAGCCGACTCCAGTTATAGAAACTAACAGCCATAAAATATACTGGAATAGAACAATTCAAACAGATCACACCATGGAATACAACAAACCAGATATCGTAGTTCAAGATAAAATGAAGCAA